TGCATGTAAAGCAATAAAAAAAGAGATTCAGGCTAGATTCTTTTATTGACTTTTGTGTATTCATTCTGTGGATCTATAACCAGGGGTTGCAATGGTTTAGAGCCACAGAGTCTATCATTATTGGTTTTGCAAAAAACAGATATCGGTTTTTTGATTTGACAACGGAACTTTTGATGTCAGAATAAGTGCACAGATTTTGCACCCGATTTTTCATTTTGTTTTACTGTGAAATGGTTAAAACTCTCTGTTTGATGAGAGATTTCTTGGTGATTAATTTTTTGCTATGTTCTTTCTCGAATACTAATAACTCTTGCAAACACAGGTATACACCGATTTCTGACGTCGGATATCGGAGCCCTGTCCAGAGCAAACTCATAAAATAACTCTTCGATGATGTTGAAAGGAACGACGTTGCTATTGCTTCCCTTGTTCTGCGACATCGGTGAGCGCGTGTTTTTTTTCTAATTCCCCAAAAGTAACAGCCGCACCTATTCAATTAAGATCAAAGCTCCCAAAACGTCGGTCCATTTTTTCACGGAAACGTTTGTGATTACAGCATTGGCAGCGCAATGCGGCAAAGTATGGCTGACAGTCTCCTCCTTGTGGAGACCAATTGCTGCCAGTGACAAAGTGGTCGACGCTGAGCTAGAAGTAAATTGGGATCTCGATTGTCCATCGAGTACAGGATACCCAGATACCATCAAGGTGTTCACTGCTGACCCAGCACATAGTAATAAGTTTTGTTTGCTTCTCTTGAACGTCGTAACTCGAGGATTAAAACGACTCTTATCTTTCGAATTGGTTCTACGTTTCATTCAAATCAAATCGATTATCGAATCTGTCCAATTTTGTATCTCGGAACGGACGGATTGAAGGAAAATCTGTTTTCCTTTCGGTTTTCATGAAACGGGGTTCTAGATTTATCGGTCCATTTCAAAAAAAGGACGCGCAACGGAATACATCCGAGGGAACGTAAGCTATCAATTTGTCCCCGTTTCTATCTTGGCTGACGTTTTTCTCGTATTTACGTCCCCGGACCCAGTGAGGAACGAACTTTAGGACTGGATCGTGTCGGGATTGGTTGATATCGGTCGAGACGCAACCCATCGACGTTGTGCTTTCAGATAAAACGATCAAGCCCAAGTTGACTTTGACTTTGCTGCAATACCCCCGAGGCTATTATCGAACCAACATCACGGTCGGTCGACCACCCCTTCCGGGTGGATGGGACACCAAAGATGGCTCGACACTTCCCGGACCCCATTGCTTGAAATACCATGCTGCCCTTTACAAAGACGGGGCTTTCCTCACCAGTTCCTGCTTGCAGATCTGGCCGACGTGGATGTACGATTTAAGGTGACGAACTATACTCACAATAAACTTATTTTTAATATAAGTACATATTTCATTTAAAATCTTTCTATCTAAAATTCAGTTTCATCGAACATGGAGTCTTTCAGGAAGGAATAACATGATCCTATATTGTCTTTTATGAAATTACTTCTTTGTCAGTCACCCCGTAATTACGTCAGACATGTATTTTAATGGAATAATTTTCTTGATTATATATACGCAGGAGACAGCTGGGAAGGCTGCCAATAGGAAGTTTAATGATTCCCGGAACTCATAATTCAGGATGCTACAAGCACGGTGATTTAACGCGGAGGGATGCCTTCCAACGATACTTGTTAACACAGGATCGAGACGTATGGACACAATTAGTGCATGGTATAAGGTATCTGGATATCAGGGTGGGTTATTACCCATCAATTCCGAATGGAACCGCCATTGAGGAAGGCAATCACATATACAGTTTCTGGATTAATCACGATGTGATTCGAATCACTCCTTTGTTCGCTATCATCGAAGATGTGAGGAACTTTCTGAACGTTGCGAGGGGAGAGGTTGTCATCATGGATTTCCATAGGTAATCTGACAATACCAAAGTACAGTACATTGCAATAAAACAATAATTCCGCTGCTTCGTTAATTATCTTTTCATAAAACATAATACAGAACATAGTATTCCTCAAAATATATATTTTTGTGCTAATAATTGTGACCTACTATATTCAGCTATTACAAAGTTATGCAATGATAGTCATGTTATAACATTATCGGTCTACATTGATAGTCGTGCAAGTAATTGAAAACAATTTCATATGAGCATTTATGAGCAAATAAGGTAAACGGTACACACGAAGCATTGGATAATAATAAAATCGCTGGCTACCGATATTATCCCGTGACAAGATAATGGCATCAAATCGAAAATTCTGATCAGTCAAATGAATGTGTTAAGATACATTCTGTTTAAGGGGAATGAAAGAAAGCGGCTGTGAATTGTCGTGAATGTAACAGATACGATTGTCCTCGCAGGGACGTAACATAATTCAATGTAGGATGATGTAATTCAATATGGGACGATTTTGCACGCAGATTTCCGGTGGGATTCGAGGACAGGTTGAGCAGGCATCGCCGATTGGCTACGATCCTCTGGCGAGAATTCGAAGGTCTGATCCTCAAGCCTGATAGGGGGGTCGAAGGTCTTGGTCCGACCTTGAACGATATTTGGACCGGAGGGAAACGCTTGATTATTTGTTACGGCGATAAGCACATCGTGAATGGTAAATTTATTACCTGCTACTATTCAATTGAATCCTTACGCGTCAATTCAATGCGCTGATATATACTCGGGTCACGTGATTCCTCATTAATCTGATAGCCGTGAAATTTTCAACGATTACTGATAATATTCCATACTAATACAAAATAATCTTCGATAGCGCTCGCGCGGGTTATTAATTATAAATGATAAATTACTAAAGCGACAGTTTAATCAACGTAGGCAACAAAATCACTAATACTCTACATTTTAAATTAAAAAATTCGATAGATAGATATAGAACCATGCTAAATGAAAATTCTAAGATATCAAAAATATCAAACTTCTGACTAATAATTTTCGTTTCTCTCAGACAAATTATTTTCTTCAATTATCTGTTTCCTTGTTTTAAATTTGAGGTTTAATCGAAATGATTTCTGAACAGAGTACGACTGGTTGTGGCCAACAATGTCTCAAGCTTGGGGTAATCAACAGACGGTGGAAGGTCTCTTCAAGTATTTGGACGAAGTTATTATGGGGCCGAAGAGGTTCCGAAACAGCCAGAACCCATTATGGGCGGTGATGGCGGAATTGACGCCGTATCCTCTGGACATAATCTTCAATCTGTCCGGTGGATTGCGGCAGATGGCGGATTCTGTGAACAGAAATCTTACATTTAAGTTCCAAGAGGAATGGTGGAAGGAAACCAACATAGTGGCTACCGATTTCTTCCTCGGGAACAATCTCATCGACGTCTCGATACAGGCGAACATTAAGAAGAGTAACATCGCCCAATGGCGTTTATAACGCGAGAAAGAAACGAATATACCCAGCGAACATTTAATTTTAATTAGATGCTGCTTTGCAAACGAGTACAGAGTCGAGACGAAAGAATGGTCGAGATCAGTCGAATTGTATTCAGAAGTTAGCCTTGTATCTCCTTGTTATCACGTGTGGAGGATCTATTAAAATCAGTTGTTGAGATTGAAATTATTTGTCTAGGAGCTTATAAACTTTAATCTTTGATTAATTTTAATCTCAACTGTATTTATGAATCATTGAAACTCTTTACGTAGTTCGAGTATCTTAAGGAAGACGCAGTAGGTTCATTTCGAAGGTTCATTCGAAGAATGGGAGAATAGTATTAATTATTAATTAGAATTCGCGAGGACGAGGACGAAGATTATCTCGAAATGAACCGCGGAATTGTAATTTTCGGATTTCTTGAATTTTAAGTAGAAGAAATTCACCGATTCGCCGAGGTTTCGGAGGAATGTTAGGGTAACCGATGTAAGAGTCCAAACACATGCGCAAGGATAATAATATGCGAATTAAAAAACTAATAAATCAGAGTATAATTACGTATACTCAAGGAGAAAGGAGTTTTAATGCCTTCGCCCTTCTATATCAAAACATTGTGGTCCCGCGAACGGTGGAGTTTAAAAGAAGAAACAGAATGAAACAATATTAAATGTTCAAAAGAATCTCCTCATATAATTCTTTCTATAACTCGGGTTCGAACGAGACCGTTCGAAACAAATGCTCCAACATTTCGAAAACGTGCTCCGCCCAGAGATCGGCGGCGCCGTGTTTCGGTTCGCGGCGATTTGACTTCCAAATGCCGGCCGACGCTGCTGGATCACGTTCGGGACACCGGTTTTTCGAGGTAGTCAGTCGTCTGCTAGCAGCCAACGGCAGTGAATCGATGCGACGAGAATTTTAACGCGTTCTCGTGCAACCCCATTCTCTCTCGCTTGCAACTTTTCTGCTCGCTCGCTCGCTGGTATCCACGTAACTTTCTAATAACGCGATAGTCCCGATACCACGTCCGCCCTGTCCTTTCTTCTTCCGTTGTCGCTTTACCAGGACGTTGACAAATGTTTCGTCCTGCTGTCAAGATCGGGGAATAATGCTTACGACGGCGCGAAACGGATGCTGAGGGAGAAAAGGACTGGTCGGGACCAAGACAATTCTTGACGTTTTTCTTCTCAATACCAGACCAGTCGGCAAGGCAGCGACGAGACAATGGAGGACAATCTTGCACGCGAAGCGAGAGAGCTGTGGGCTGTTTACGCTTGGTGGTCGTGCGTACTTGTTTTGAAGATGAACGCTTTGTCGTGGTTCACTGGCAGAATTCGAGTAGCTAGACAGGTAAACCTCCTTCGTTTTTACATTGTTTACTGTCCTACTTCGCTGTATTGTCTCCCTTCCGAGCACTATTGCGAAGTTCTTACAGATTCCTGAAGATTATACGTACAATTTCGATTAATTTCTGTTCTTGATGTTAGTTACGGAAGTTAGTCGCTTTAGCGAATGTTAAAAAATACTAAAATGTTTTCGTTAAAATAAAGTGTTATCCTTTTTGATAATTAGCAATTTCTCGAAGTAAATCAATTTATCGCATACTTCGCAATTTAAGAAAAGGTAGAAATAGTTTCGTATATCTTAAAAAGCATCATCAAGAATATATATTTAAACATTCACAGCTATTAATGTCATAACATTTCACTCAAGTTTCAAAAAAGCTGTATAATAAGTTTTTATCATTCTATTTGTTCTGGCCGTGGTTATACCTCAGTTATAGAGATATCTTTTTCATTACCAAGATAGCACCACGGAACCATTTACACGCAAGAGAGCAAGAAAAGTTTGAGTTTCATTATCGTAACGAAACAATTTTAAGCCATGTCCCAACACCGCGTCGTGCCATTTTTGAAATTCGGTTGATCAAACGAACGAAGATTCCCGGGAATTTAATTGGATCGCTTAGTTCCGATCGATTTTGCAGGTGATTCACAGCGAGGAGGACAGAATGTGGATGAAAGGGCCCAATATAATTTTATGTCCGACCGGAGGCGGCCACGAAGACGTGGATCGCATCCGAAGCGCGCATCAACACGATCTTGGTACTGTGCTAGCTTATCTGCTAATTACACCGATATGGTTGTGCATGTCACCGTTGTTTCCTGTGGCCAGAATGATTCTTCCTTGCTTCGCGATAGTCAACATACTGTACACCCTGGCGCACATGGAGATCGGCGGACGGCACCGTTACTGCAAAACAATACTCTCCGCGTTTGAACTTTGCATCTTGATCTTCGTGTCCGCCATGACTATGCTTCGCTGCACGATTTCGCTTAGTACATAGCGATAATTCTATCTATATATATATTTCTTATGTGTGGTTCTCGTTACGTAATCACAACTGTTCGATAGGATAAGTGAGGTCAATGCAACACGTACCGTAACTGGAATCACAATGAATAGGAGCTAATGTTGCATCGAAATCATTTCGGCCGGGAGTATTGATGCCACCGTTCGAGTAAGCTGATTACAGTATTAAGATCCGTGGGATTGGCTGAAGAATGTCTCATGATTCATTATTATTAATTTTTGTATGAGGTTTGGAGTATGCATTAGTATTTAATAAAATACTGTATCGATATCTAAGTGGAATTTATTGTATGAAAGAAATAAGCACGAGTCGTAAATGAAAGTTGCCCATGTATGCATAAAATTGTCTTAATGACGGCACTAGTGATATGAAGCTATCTATTTAAATGGAAGTTGGAACACGTGATCACATCCGTAACATGATCAGAAGCGAACATGATCGGTAGAAATTCTGACACATTGGCTGTGTCAAGCTGTGATTAATTGTTTAACGGTTGTATGTCATAAAATGAAAGATATGTATTATACGTATAAAAACACTTTTTAATTCATTCTGATCATTAAACATATTTTTTTAAATTAGCTGATTGTGTAAAAGACTGTATAGTACAGTAGTAACGTTGGTTCGGGAAGTACTTCTCCACTTACTTCAATTACCATGGGCAAGTACTCATTAGATATCATTGCAACTATCAATTTCGTATACTTGACCGATTGTAATGCTGTAGCTAGTGTGCTAGTTCATCACGGTATCTACAAACAAGCGATAAAACGTCAAGTTAGTATCGCTACGACGAACAAAATATTTTTAAACAGTCCAAGCACGCTTTCACTCAATAGATTAAACAGTTTCATATGCCACCCGTTTAAATAAACTTTACATAAACTTTATTGTAAAAGAATATCACTAAAAAAGTATCACATTTTATTAAACAAGAACTCGATAGATTTATGAAAGTATAAAATAAAAATATTATTCTTATATTCTATATGAAAGTACTCAACATTTTAGATGATAACTTTATTTTACATTTTATATCATTCAAACTATAGTTTACATTCATTTGTTTGTATGTATAATTTAAATAAAACTAAATCAATCACTAAAGTGACATCATTACCTCTCTTGTTAAGAAACAGCTAATACGTATGAGATCCAGTCTCCCGGCTCACCCTGTACATGCGTACCCACACCGTTCCCAATTCATAATTAGACATGAAAGAAACCGCAAAAGAAATTAATTGCACTTATTCTTTCGCAGACTACATCTGCATGCGTTCCTCCACGTAGTAGCGCCGCCGATTATGCTTATTTGAGCTATGGACACACACTGAACACACGGAACCGCAAAAAGCATCGATCTCGTATCTTCAGTATCATCGTATTTAATCGATAAGTATTTAGCGTCTTCAGATTACGGTGTGTTCAGCGTGTTACGTATCTAAGATCAAGAATACGTCATTAAATTCAGTTTCACCGCACCTTCCTGCATACTATCAGGATAAACAGCTCCAGTTTGCCATTAACTAGCGTGAAGGAGCTTGACTCTACATTCTGCAAACTGATCATTCAAGAATCTTTGGTGAGTTGTTTATTATTAATTATTATGAACGCAATATAAAAAATGTTCACTATCATCTCGATAACATTGTAGTGATAATAAAGGAACTTTGGCAGTGTTAAAATTAAAATTGAAGGTGATTGGGAATCGCGAAGGGAGACTGTTAGCAATTCGCTAAAAAAACGTGCTTTCCATACGTTTACCTTGATTCTTTATTTTTCTTTTCGTCTTTGTATAAAGATGCGTTTCAACAATTTTCACGAATACGTTTCATAAACGACCGGTATGTATTTTAAATCTATTGCAAGCGTGCTATGGGGAATCTTATATTTATAGGAAAATTGTTTATATCTATATTTCATATCGGTGGATTTTCCACCTTGACGGAACAGTTAATATTATAATTTACTCGGAAACGGTATTTTACCAATCAATGTTGACTACTCAAACTGAGAAAAAGGCATAAAAGTTTGTTCACTTCCCATCATTTGGAGACCTTGACACTCATCGGTTTCAACCGGGACTAATCGCAAGAACACGTATAGAAAACGAAAGTGGGAACAGATAAAATTGGTAACCGACTTTTCATTTCTTTTTTTTTTAATAGTAGAACTTTAATAGAACTTTTGTTAGAAATTCCGATTCGTCGGTTCGGTGTTTATTTCAATAATAGATCGCGATCGACAAATCGCATGCGCATAGATCGCAGTGCATATATATGTCATATATGCGTCACGTGGAATCTGATGCAGCTGAAAGTGCGATAAGTAAAGCACTAAGATGGAAAGTGACACTCGTGTATTCGCCGAGCTTGAAGATTATAAAAGCTCTGTACACCGATTTGCTCAGATCGCGCTCGTCTTCGACAGTATGCTCTTTTTCACGATCCTTTATCTGTTCGTTTATATAATCGGTCGACAGATTTAGAGGTTAGGTGACCCGTGTCCTTCGTCGCGAACCCAGTAACCAAGTGCGAGAAAATTAACAACACAAGCTGAATGCCATCCACGTCGATGGTACGCAAAGGCGAATCGTTCTTTTACGGTTTGAGTAACGCGCGGGCGAAATTCGAAACATGAGACAGGAAAATACGAGGGTGGTGTGATTGAATTTCAGTGTCAAAACAATGGAAATCGACGAAGGAATCGTTCGTAAACGGACATTTCAGAGCTATCTGCAACGTGTACCGCAGCGAATTTCAGAAGTGGTCGAACACTTTTTCTATGGGTAAGTATATAACGATTCTAATGAGGTAAGCGTTGTTTAGAATGTATTTGTTTTTTTTCCTAGACTTGGGTTGAAAATAGCAGAGAGACCACTGAGGTGGTTCGTCTGTAGCATTGTGATAGTCTTAATTTCTCTTTCGGGTTTATATCGTTTTCACCAAGAGAAGAATCCTGTAAGATTATGGATTCCGCAGGATTCAGATTTTGTTCGAGATACAGACTGGATGATTGATCGGTTTGGACAAGGTCTAAGAATGGAAAACATGTTATTAACAGCAGAAAATGTATTAGAACCAGAGGCTCTCGCAACAGTATTTATCTCTTTCATTTGAATTTTAGTATAGGAATATGCACTTTGATTATTATATGACCTATATTTGTTTATTCATATAATGATAAGTGAGGAAATTACTTAAATCATTTCAGCTGAACGAAATAATAAAGCAAGTTATTTCTATACAAACTCCTGACCGCATTGCATGGACAGATGTGTGTTTCAAGTAAGATTTCTTTTACACATTGTTTATGTTGTATTTATTTCAATAAGAAATTAATATTTTTCTTTTTAATGTATAGAATACCTGTGATATCAGGTGTTGCGAAGAGAGAAAAACGTAGTAATGACAATGATGATTTTTTTGACATGGAACCTGAGTCACAAATCAATGGTACCACATTTGAACCTGCAGTTCATACTGATCCAGAATTATATTGTAAGATAGTGAATAATTTGCCAAAAGCTTGCCTTATAAGTAGTCTTGTAGACATATGGGAATATGATACTAATGTTATTCTTCAAAAGTCAAAAAATGAAATAATCAGGGATGTAAATAAAATAAAAGTTAGCCCTACCTTAGGACATCCTTTAAACTTCACAAATTTATTGGGTGGGATAACAACAGACGAGCAAGGTAGAATCATATCAGCAACAGCTGTAAAAACACAATGGGCAGTACATATAAATTTTTCGAAAGTGGATATGGATAATTTTGGCAATGATGTTGGAACAGCTGATTGGGTAAGGTAAGTTCATTAAAAGGCCTAAATCATTGTTTCAATATAAAAATTTATAAAATAACTGAATACTACTGAAAGTATTAACATAAAATACAAAAATGAAAACTTAAATATAATTTAACTTTTCTTTAATGTCAGTTTTTTTAATGTTGAAGGAAAGTTTTGAAATTTTGTAGTGATACATACATGGAATACTTATATTATTTAAAGAATTTGAATTTTATGTTTCGTATGATTTGGGCCTTGTTTATTATTTTGAATGATTTTGTCAAGATCAGTTTAAATATTTTTTTCATATATAGTATTATTTAAAGAAATTTGTTTTACCAGCATATTAATTCTATTCTATGATATCTTTGATCTTAGACAAAATCAATATTTTTAGCTTAGATTCTTGTTATTACTGTTTACTCTTTTATATATAAGTATTTACATTTTTATGTATGTAGCCTTCTATATTTATAATTTAATGAACAGAATAAGGATAACTGATTTGTAATAGAGTTCATTTTATATTTATAGGCTACAGAAGAGGTTTTTAAATGGGAAGTGTCTTATTTAAATGTATTAAATAGAAATGCAGAACAATTAAATAATAAGAAAGATGCAAATAATACTCTTGCCATATGGTACGAAGCTGGTAGAAGTTTTGGGGATGTAACATATGTGACAATGTTCGGACATATAGATATACTGTCAATAGGATTCATTTTGATGTTCTTTTACGTTCTAGTCATATTTTCCGATTTCAATTGGGTAGGATGGCGAGTAAGTTCTCACTCAAATGAAGTAACATAATCACATAAACTATCCTGAAAGCCAAAGCGAGAAGCGAGACCAATATCATTAAGACTTGATTTGAAATTAATTATAGTTAACTTATTTATTAGTAGTATTCAGGATACTCTTTATAGGAAACAGTTTTCACAATGTTGCTTTTAACTATACATAACTTTCTGCAGATTTATTTAACATGTATTGGCCTTTTGTGTGTGGGCGGTGCATTCGTAGCTTCAGTCAGTATATGTTCGTTAATTGGTATACCATATGGGCCTGTACATACTTCTTTACCTTTTCTCTTATTGGCCCTTGGAGTAGACGATAATTTTTTGATAATGGCATCTTGGAAAGAAATACACGCACACGAATCAAGCAGAAATAAGCCATTGAAAGAAAGAATAGCTTTAATGTTGGGACATGCAGGTTCAGCTATTACTATTACTTCTCTTACTGACGTAGTTGCCTTTATTATTGGCGCATCAACAGTAAGTTTGTATTAAACTTATGTATTATTATCTGTGATATCTATATGATTGTGCATATTAACTTCAACCTTTAACTATAAATGTATCTTCAGATATTACCATCCCTTCAGTCATTTTGTATTTACGCAGCAGTCGGAGTATTTTTGACATTTTTACTTCAAATCACATTTTACGTTGCTTTTTTTACTCTGGACGCTCAACGAATTGAGAGCAAAAGGAACTCGATATTTCCGTGGATCGTTCACGAAAATTATACTCAAAAATTCGTCAGTTCACAAGAGGAACCAACTTCCAAATTCATCACGAAATTATATACACACGTTGTGTTAACAGTACCTGGCAAAATACTGATAGTATTAATAACTATTGTCGCTGCATCAGCGGGCATTATGGGTATATTACAGTTACAACAGTGGTTCGATCCAACTTGGTTCATACCAAACAGTTCATACCTAAGCAAGTATTATAGCGTGTACCATCGTGAATATCCAGAACACGGCTACGAGGCTATCATTCTCATGGGAGAATACAATTACACTGCCGAGTTTCCTAAGCTGATAAATTTAACGGAAACATTCACTAATTTATCAACAGTGCAAAGTTTACATTCGTGGCCGAACGATTTCACAAACTTCGTGTCTAAGTATTTTGCAAAAGGTTGGCAACATTCTGTACAAACCCGAAGCATAGTACCAAGAGAGACTATTAAAAGACTTCTATTTCCAGATTTAAGAACCACAACACTTAGCGACACACAATTTAGCGAGTATCTATCAAAATTCTTATTTAGTCAAAATGGTGGCAAGTACCAGCGGAATTTCCGTTTCAAAAAAGACCTAGTATGCGGTCAAAATACACCACCGATTATAGCGAGTACCATAGATTTTATCTTCAAACGATTCCACACCCCTCACGAGTGGATCCCAGCAATGGACCAAAGTATACAGATGACCCGTGAGGCTGGAATCGATGGGTTCATTACAGTTTGGAGCGAAGTGTTTAGTCTATGGACCACTGATAAACTGATCTCTCAAGAAGTCCTACGCAACGTTTTGTTAGCATTAGTCTGCGTTATGGGAATGACAGGGTTACTGATCGCTGAACTACAGACTTGTTTCTGGATCTTCTTATGTGTTCTTCTCACATTGCTAAATGTCTGCGGGTTCATGCATTTTTGGGGGATGACAATAGACATTGCATCTTGCATCGGTGAGAGATTTTTCTCCAATATTACTGTAGCATAGATCTCGAAAATGGTTGCTAAGGAATTTATAATCTCTCTGCTTGATTAGGTCTGGAGTTGGGCATTGGATTATGCGTCGACTACGCGGCTCACGTTGCACACGCCTTTGTACACGCTGCGTCTAATATCGGAAGTGAGGATCGCATAAAAAGAGCTCACGTTGCGGTAAGATACATAGGCGCAGCAGTTGCATATGGCGCAGGGTCCACTTTGTTGGCACTCTCTATGATGGCGTTCTCGGAGAGCTATGTGTTCCACGCGTTTCTGAGGATCTTCGTCTTGGTGATATTGTTCGGGCTCTGGCACGGATTGTTCTTGCTACCAGTGATATTGAGCACGATCGGTCCGCGGAGTCTGCAGCAGTATAAATCGAAACCGTCATCGGAGAAAGAATACGAGGAAACAGCGACAATAGACACGGTGACCACTCCATTGAACAAAGAACCGGAAGGTTAAGAGAACATACGACTAATAATCGATTCTTTATAACATTGACGCTCCCCACCGAAGAAACACAAGGAAACAGCTACTATGGACACGCCGACGCACTCCGTCGAAGAAAGAAACGGAAAGTCAAAAGAAACGCACGACCAATGATCGATTCTTTATCAATAATATTTATTTTTGGTTCAATAAACATACAAAATTATTACACTATCCGTACTATTAATCACACATTTATACAAAAATAATAATAATAATAATAATAATAATAATAATAATAATAATAATAATAATAAAGGTCGGATAACTTAAAAACGGCATTATTTATATATATTTATATTTATCTAATATATTAAGATTAAAAAAAAGAAAAACAAGTATAAAATAATGTAGCAAGGTTGATATAGATTTTATTAATAATAATTATTGATCGGAAAGGAACATGACTATCATTAAACGTAACGTAAAATCGTGTTTGCTGGATGCGTTATCATCTTTTTTTTTCTTCATCTTCTTTATGTATAATCATAATTAATGTTTACGACGTAAAAACGAGCGGCGAGGGAGCGACCCCGGGATTGATTGGCAAGCTCCCTCCGCTGCCTCTCTCAGTCTTGCACAGTCCACGGACACTCATGCAATCTTTCATCCGAATGATTCTGTCACTCTCGCGTCCTTCCCGTTCGTCGGCCCCCTTCTTTCTTTCCCGTCCGTTCTCGCCTCGTTTCGTTCCCCCTACCCCACGCCCCCGGACCGTTAGGCGACGGGTTCGGAGGGTTTAATTTCCAATTCGAGCGGACGCGAACAACGGGGACGAACGGGAAGACGTTCGAGAGTTCTCCACACGCGTACAAACACGGTCACCCATCAGACAGAGGCATCCGACCAGAGGCGCACGTTCTCCGGAAACACGATCTCAGCACACACGGTAGAAGTAGACTGCCGGGGGGCAGCAAGCCACGCACGAACGATACGGCGATACACAATCTCCTTACTTAGTTCAAATTTTACAAATTGGGATCGTACATTCCATAATTAATGAGGAACCATCGATACAATAATTAATATTTACTTAGCAAAACGTGCCGATC